TTAATAAATCCAATAACAGAGCCTATGTTAGGGAATAATGTGTTTTTCTTAAATATTCCTAAAGTGAGAAAACTTCTTTAAAGATTTTTTTCAACATTTAAATATCAAAACTAAAAAAAATAAAGAAGAAAACTTATTCTAATTAAGACTTAGACAAGATGATGTAAGACTAATTTGATACCAATTTATGAGCCTTGTGATGATGCTAAAACTTTCTCTACATATAACTAACTCCCAAATTTAGTTCTAAAGATGTAGATCAGAATCTATTTTATTAGGGACTCTTAATTAAACTTAAGATAGTCTTAAAAGGAATGGATTCAATTAGGTGATCAATCACACTTAGATAAAAAAGATTGTAGTGACAACATAATTTTTGTGACTAATAATTAGGTTCTCGAACTTGGACATTATAATAGCCCAAATGATAGAAAATTTAGATATATATTTTATAAAAGTAAAAAAGAACTTAAGAAATAAAAATATAGGTGATTTGAATTAAAATTAAGGCTTTTTTATAAGATATTTAACAAATTCAACAATAGAGTTAAGAAAATGAATGAAATTTTTGAATACTCTTAAAGTGAGAAATTTTTTTAAAAAAATTTGCTAGATTAATAGAAAAACATAAAGAATTCTTTTCAATATTTAAATTTAAAATAAAAAGACCATCTAGCCAAAACCTTTAGGATGGTTTAAAATTAATTGGTACTGTCCTTTGAACAAATGTTGTAAGGTACTAAAACCTTTTTTATACGTAATTAAACTCTCAAATCTAATTCTATAATATAAATCATAATCCATTCTTTTAAGAACTCTTAATCAAGTTTAGGAAATCTTTAAAAAGATAAATTAATTTACTTAAGTTCTCAATCATAGTTAAATAAAAATTTTTTTTGGATGATAACTCTTTTACGTTTAATGATCAAATTTACATTACTTGAACGTTATGACATATTTTTTTATTTATTTTAATATATCCAAACTACTATGTCACAACCATTAAACGTGTTAGTGGAGTTTGAAAATCTATGAAAGAGTATTACTTATAACAACATAATTATGGAATTAAAAAATATGCCTATTGTATAGACTTAATTTTATCTTATCATATTTTTGTTAAAATTGATCTTGATTTAAAGTTGGTAACAAGGTGGAGTGGGTCGGATTTTTGCTTTTCCTGCCTTCAACCGAAAGCTTCAATAATTTTAGCCAATACCTAACCCATCCCCACTCAAAGGTTTTAATTGAAAAACCTAACCCCGACCCGCTAAGAATATTATTTCTCCAAATCTGACCTGACATGAATTCAATCTATTACCACTTTAAATTTACTGAAAACTTCACAAATCATAGTCTAAATATATTACAAGCATTAACAAATTTAACCAATTTTTAATTAAAGGAGATTATTCAAGGCGTTTTTGGCTAGAAAATACCTTGAATAATTCTTACAAAAAATTAATTGGGGTTATTCAAGGTGTTTGTGGCCAAAAACACTTTGAATAATTCTTTAACCCCTAAACCCTAAACTTATAAAAATTTAAGGAGATTATTTAAAGTATTTTTACTCAGAAAATACATTAAATAATCCCTTACAAAAATTAAATGGGGTTATTGAAGGCGTTTCTGGCTAAAAACACCTTAAATAATTCCTAAACCATAAACTTTAAACCTTAAACTCATAAAAATTTAAGGAAATTATTCAAGATATTTTTGCCTAGAAAATGCCTTTAATAATCTTTTACAAAAATTTGAATTGGGTTATTCAAGGCATTTATGGCAAAAAAACGCCTTGAATAATCCTCTACAATTTTTTATTAGGGATTATTCAAAGCGTTTTTGAACAAAAATACCTTAAATAATCATATACCATTTTTTTAGGATTATTAAATGTGTTTTTGGTTAGAAACGTTTTGAATAATCCTTTACAAAAACTCTAATAGAGTTATTCAAGGCGTTTCTGTCTAATAATACCTTGAATAATCCACTTCAAATTTTATGAGGTGATTATTCAAAGGGTTTTTGGCTAGACGCCTTCAATAACCCCATTAAATTTTTTGTAAGAGATTATTCAAGGCATTTTTCAGAAAAAATGTCTTGAATAATCCCTAATAAAAAATTATAGGAAATTATTCAAGGCTTTTTTTGCAAAAAGGCCATGAATAATCACCTCATAAAAATTGAAGTGGATTATTAAAAGAGTTTTTGGCAAAAAATGCCTTCAATAACCCCATTAAAATTTTTATAAAGGATTATTTAATGCATTTTTGGCAAAAAACACATTGAATAATCTCTTACAAAAAATTTAATAGAGATTATTCAAGGTGTTTATGCCAATAAACACCTTCAATAATCCCCTCATAAAAATTTTTGAAGATTATTCAAGGTATTTTTGGTCAAAAACGCTTTAAATAATTCCATTCAATTTTTTTAAGGGATTATTGAAGGCATTTTTCATGTCAAACGTCATATATAAACCAAATTTTTTACCAGTAAAAACCTAAAACCGACTCGCATTTATTCCAAACATGATTTTCAAAATAGTAACGAATATTTCATAATTTTTTTAGTTAGGTCAAATTTAGAAATAATGTCACTTTCTCCCTCTTAGAATCTTAAAATACCAAAGAGAGAAGTGTGTTTTTTATTCTGGGACTTTAAGTACTGTTAAAAATTTATCAATTTTTTTTTTAGAATCAGATTACTTTGAACCAAATGTTAGAATCAAATATCCAACAGTAAGATTTTGAAAGAAAATGTATGGATTTTTCCGAACCAAATGCCCCTTTAGTAAATTAAAACTAACAAATTTTCACCATAAATGATGGAATTATGAAATATATAAAACTTAGCAAATTGAAATTCAAACATCAAACAAGCATAAATTAATAACTAAAATTTAAATATAGTACATGATACAAGATAAACATCAAAAGTATTTTGATAACTATCCAATGTTGAATCAGATCAGGTTTCATATAAACCCAACCCCGACCTAAATCTGTTATTCAAAAAAATAAAATCAACCTAACTTGATCCAAAATCCATTTTTTGAAACAAAATCCTATCTTAAATAATCAAATCAGATCGAAACTTGAAGATTTTGAGTTAATTTGCCATCTCTATCTCGATTCAAATAAAAAGTGTTTATACAAATCATGGCTCACTAAATTAATCCCAAATTAGACTTGAAAATCTAAACCCCAATTCCCGAAATTCAATTATGGTCACCCCCTAGCTAAATCCCAAAATTTTATTTTAATTCAGAATCTTTAAGTAATCCTATTTATCAGACCCCCAATTTTTAAATTTTAAATTTGATCAAACCTTAAGATAAACTTTCAGACAAATTTGGTCAAATACTGATTCAAATTTAGTCAAACTTTGGATCCTTAGCCAAAATCCAAATCTCTAATTAAATTATTGATCAATATCCCAATTCTTATATTTTTAAAATTTTGTCAAGACATCAATAAAGCTTCAAGTCAAATTTGATCAAACTTGAATCAATTTCAAAACCTAAATTATCTCAAACCCATGCTGATCTCAATCAATCTTTCATGAAATCATAAATTGAATCTTAAAACTTAGAACCCGAACTCAAAACAAATCATCAAATCCATAACTCAAACCCTAAATACAAACTCCCAAAAATCTGTTCATATTGAATGGAACGCCAAAACTTGAGCTTCCAATCTCTGAACATTAACTCTGGATCAAACCCAATAAAAACAGCTGTTTTTAAAAGAAAATCAAATAAGAAGACATCAAAAATAAATTGAAGGAAAGAGAAAAAAATGAAATGAAATTTGGAGTAACCAATCATACCCTCCAACCTACGTGGCTAGTACAATTAGCTACGTATGCTACTGAGGAATGAAAAAATCATCTTGATCCATCAATGAATGAGTACAATTAATCTAACAGTACGTTGGGTTGGGGAATGGCTATTCCATTTCCGATTATTCCATAATGTAAAGTTATTCAAAAGTTCGATTCATGGAAAAGGCATTCTGCAGATCGTCTATTCTTCAAAAACATGGAATATCCATTCCGAGCTCTCCCCTCAGAATGGCGATTCCCGAGGGCAAGGCATCCGTGGTAATCTTTTTAGGAAGATTTTACCCTTACACATTTCTCTATTTTTTTTGCTTTATAGTTTTATTTTCTTTCTATATTTCTTTTTTAGTCATATTTTTCAGATTTTCCCATCATTTTTTGATCAATTAATGCACTGGTGTTCTTCCCGCGAAAGATCAGATTCAAGCATAATAGATGCAATCTAAATTTTTAATAAAAAAGAATACCTATTAATTTATCCCCTCTTTTGCCAAAAAAAAAAATCCCATACTCAGAAATTTTCAGAAAATTCTCCATATTTTAGCATTCACAACTTGCATATTGCACACATCAACATTCTATTAATCTATTTAAATTTTCGAAAGCCTAAACCCCAACATACCATAAAACACCACCCAAATACAAACAAAAAAAAAAAACTCATTCCCATACTTGAAGCTCAAACAAATTATATATACTTTCTAATAAACATGCAATCAAATCTGAAAATAACAACAAAAATAATGTATTTTTGTGCTTAAGGTGGGTGCAAGAGGAAAGATAAGAAATAGGTATAATATAAGCATTTGTAAGCCACAATGGGCATTTGAAGCACCTCTTTGAGAAAAAAAAACATCATTTAGATCAAGAATCATCACATTTGGAATAAAATATCATATTCAACGAATACAATTTTTGAATTTCTAGCAAGACATTTAAAGGCCCAAGTCATGGCACTTGAATACTGTAAGTGAATTTTCATATAGAATGTGAAATCCTATACGACATTTGATTGTTCAAGGCAAAATTTTAAGACAAATCACTTTTAAATTTGGTTATTCGAATTCCCTTCAAATGATATTTAAATCTTTTTATTTATATTTCGGATGTTCAAGTTAAAATTTTAAGGCAGATTACTTTTAAATTTGATTATTCGAATTTCCTTCAAAAATCTCCTTACTTATTTTTAATTCCAAATGTTATTTATTAACATTCAAATATAATTCTTCAATACTTATGCATATATAATACATGAATTACAAACTTTATTTTCATAAAAATATTTAAAAACACTTAAAAAGCATTCATTCTTTTATAAGATATAGACAACACTATTTACACTCTAAATTCCTTAAAATTAACTATACCCAAGTGGGTCTTAAAATTGATCTAATTCCATGAGATTTTGATATATACTAACATTTTTCATAATGCAAAATTTTCAAGGTTGACCACCATTACAGTAATATCATCTATGTTTCCTCTTCCACAAGAAATGTCAACTAATTTTTTGCAGGATTCCTGAACGTTCCTCTCTCTCAACACCACATTGACTGCCTCTTGTTCGTTCACCTGAAAATTGTTTCGCATAAAATTTTTATGTAGTAATTAGTTAGTAATATATTTTATCTTAATCAAACCTATATTTTTTGGGGGATTTGATCGACATATTATCAATTACATATATATATATATATATATATAGTAGGTTAAGATCTAAGCAAAATCGGGAAAGGTGAATTAATTTGCAAAAGCTAATGATCGAATCTTAACCTTACTCAAATACATCTCTTAAAATAGTTGAGTGAACCATTTAAACTAAACCTCAAATTCTATTTTATCCATCCTTTTTTTTTTTTTGGCCAACCATATTATCCTCTGTTTAATGTATTCAAGTCGAACTAATCAACAATTTGGAGATAAAAATCCATGCAAAAGGTACCTTGTCCCACAATCCATCCGAAGCCATTATCAAGAACTCGCAATCCGATGTTAAGGGGAGCGTTTTAATCTCTGGCTCCGAAATAATCCATTGTTTCAAATGGAAGTCTCCGATTGCTCTAGAAACCGCGAGGGATCCCTGAACTCTCCACACCCCATTTCGACAATGCACAAAACCACCCTGCAAGTGCAACGATTAAACTCAATTAGAATCAGGTCAGCAATAAATTGATTGATCATATGGACAAACAAAAGGGCCAATGCCAATCCAATTTTTTTTTTTTGAGATGTCCACTTAGAATATATATAAGTGTCGATGGATTTATTAATTTTTTAGAAAAAAAGAGTGTTCAAAAAAAAATTTTTGGGGTTCCAAAAAAAGTTTATCTTCAAATTTTCTTATTTTCTAATTTTTAGGGATATCCATGACACTATTTCATGCGTTGGATTTGCCTCTGGAAAGGAGAGTCTAATTCCTTTAAGAACCAAATTATACGAAGAACTTACAGAGCTCTCAATCCGAAGCCGCTCATCCTCCCTGCTGCTAAGGCGGTGGTCATTTGTCATTGCAGCGGCTATTCCTTTTCGACTAAGAACTACTCTACAGTCTCCAACGCTTGCTACATGCAGCTCACCATCCTTTAAGAGCACAGTTGATGCACAAGCTCCACTGCTTACACCCTGAATGTGATTTTCAGTGGTATAAGATAACATTACTTAAAAACTATTTCACTTATCAACTTTGGTAAGGAAACTTTTGTTGGAAAAGACAAGGTAATTAACGCCCAAACGTAAGAAGTATATATGATTCATAAAAAAATTTTTCATGTCAGTATTTTCATCTAATATATTAAATATTAATTTTAAGTTGGATGTCCATCTCAAAATTTAAGATAAAATATTGTCTCCGTTCATCATTTTATCAATGATGTGTTTCACAATGACGATGTGATATCCAAACACATGAATGATCAAATTTTATATATGTTAAATAATTTATGTGCATGAGCATTTAACGATATGAAATTAAATATTGAAGAGACCAAGTGATCAAAAGGATGTACTACTATATATTGCACAATGCTGAAAATTTCAAATGAACATGTGAAGTCGGTAACTTGCCTGGCTAAGAAATTCTTTATCCGTGACCAAGTAACCTCTGCGAATAGCTTGCTCCAACCGACCAATCTCGTCTCCAACATTTTCAAGTGCTTCCACAATGTTCTTTCCTAAATTTTCAGCTACGTAGTCAGCCGCGGCGTGGCCTCCGTGCCCATCAATCACAGCAAAAAATGCCTGGAGAAAATGTGTGACTTGGTCAATAAACTTAAATATTTGTGTAATGATAAAGACAGAAAATTGAGTTGTTTATGTTAAATTAAGTACTTTAGATGAAAAGTGTTTGTACATAGACGGGCTTAAAGACGGGAGAAGAGTTTTAAGTGTTAAGATTTGAATTTCAAACCTATACAGAATGTTATTTCTTAAAGTAATTGAATGAATCAACTGAGCCCCTTAAAAGTGCTCTGGGTTCTTAGATGGAAATATAGTAAAGACCAACCTGCTTAGGATCACCCAAGATATCAACCGTGAAACTATAGCTGTCTTCCATGATCTCTCTTATTCCTTTCTTGCTGGCCAAAAAGAAATCTCTTCCTTCAATCTCAAATTCCTTCTTCTTCTCCAACCTGGGAAATATTTCCAAACGAGGAAAGTACTCAGGCAAAAGCAGCGTAGCAGGCCTCTTCCTCAGCTTTATAGTATTAGTCCTCCCATTTGAACTGGAAGCTCCGATGTCAATCTCTGCCATTAATCCGATACAATTATCGGATTCTTCTTCTTCTTCGTTGATGATAACACCTCCTGGATCTTCTCCCTGGTAGTTTCAGTATTTCTGGGACAGTATTAACGACCTTTCTTGAACAAAAAAGCAGCCAAACCTGGAGAAAGCCTTACTTGAGCCTTGAAGAAAGAAACTGGGTAGAGAAATTATAGAAAGCCTCCATAACGTTTCCTGCAAATCTATCATCTTTGGCTCAATCAATCTTTTTTTGATTCACGCAACATTAATCTCAATGAATTAATGATATATAGGGTAAAATATGCAGCTTCATTTCATTTGGAGATATATATATATATATATGATATGATATGATACAACGGGTCAAAGGGGAGTGCAAAAAGGTTGTTGACAGTTGACACTTTCAAACTTGAAAACCAAAGCCAAGGAAATAGTCATATTAATGCTTAAGTCGGCTGCCTTTGATAGATATCCTAAACAGGAAACAATTCAATTGACTTGGTACGTGGCATATTTTTCAACAGTGTTTTTAAGTCTGTCAGCCTCAACTGACTGTTCATTTTTCGGCTATTTAATTACTTAAATAACAAGGAGCCAGCTTTGACACCTATGGACGGCATCTTTTATTTTCTAAATGAAATTAATTACAGAGTCTTACCATTGCTACTTCAATTTTATTTTATAGTTATGAATCGGTCTTAATATATTGAGGTCATAAGCATCCCTTACAAGGGAAAAAAGATCACCTTCCCTGCTAAAAAAGCAACATAAGTTTTTGTGGTTGATATTTGTTTAAATTATTTTTAATTTTTAATTTAATTTTATATTTAATTTAAAATCATTAAATTTCAACTAAGGATTTATCTAAATGTGCATTATTAACTATTAGATAAATTAGTGAAAACTTTCACTACCTTTTAATTAGTGAAAAGGAATTTTCCTTCTTTACATAATATACAATAAGGACAGTAGAGTGGTTTTTGTAGAATTTAATATTAATGTCATAAGTGACCTTTATATTATAATATAATACTTAATATGATATCTGAATTTTAAAAATTTTTAATATAATATTTGAATTATAAACTGTTAGCTAATATAATATTTAGAGGATTATTTATCCATCAAATGTTGTCATTTAAAGTTAATCACGTTAAAGATAAATATAATATTAGTTAACAGATTCATAATTTAAGTATCAAATTAGATATTTTTAAAGTTTAAATATCATATTGAATATTTTACTATAATTTAGTGATCATTCATGATATTAATCCTATAATTTATTTAGATTTGGTTTGATAAATAATTTTATTTTTTACTTAGAAAAAAAATAAAATGAAAAGGCAAAAAATATAATTTGTATAAAAAACCATAAAGGATAATTAAAAAGAAAAAAATAAAAGTGTTTATCAACAGGAGGTTTAATTTTTGCAAAAATTTAAAATAGTATTTAAGGATAAGGTCTAAATTTATCACTTTAGCTGAGACAATGAATCAAATTTATTATTAGTCTTTAAATGTGCGTAAATTTACCTTTCTACTTCTAAATTTAATTAAAAATAATTAAAAGTTAAAAGTAAAAGAAATTTGTGACGAAAGATAAAGGAATAATTCGGCTAATAATAATTCAACTATAGTCTTTTTCATGACCCTTTTAGTTGTTGGAAGTTGTAATTCTGAAATTTTGACCTCTTAAGTTTAGGTATTACCAAAACTTTCTAGAAATTTAATTATGATTTTATTTTATTTAATGCATTATTGATCCCAAAAATCAAGCTAATTAAAATTAAAAAATAATTCGTTTAGGAGATAATCGTGCATTTTTATTCCTTTACCCCACGTTTGGTTGGATGATTTGGAATTCCATTACAGTCATTTTTTTTTTTATGCCTTTTCTATTTCGTTATTTGGTTTATTTTTTAGTAAAGAATAACAATTTCACCGAATGTCAATTCCTTAAAAACAAGAAATAGCAATTCTTTACTCTCCCCTAAGAATTGCAATTCCTGCCTCATCAGAAATTGAGAATACTATTTATTGGACAATTTTATCCTTATATATTTAATTATTATAATTTTATCCTTTCATATTTAATTAATTCTAATTATTATGATTAATTAATATTATTTTATTTTAATCAATTAAATAATATTAATTATAATATTTAATTTGATAATTAATTAATATTACTTTAATATAATTAAATAATATCAAACACTAAAATATTATTAAATTAATCTTTAATATTATTATATATTAAAATATTATTAAAATAGTATAGCATACAAAAATATTATTAAATTTAATATTTATATTATTAAAATAATTTGAAAATAATATAATATTTGAATTATTATTAAATCAATATTTCATATTAAAATATTATTAATTTCAGATTCAATATTAATATATTATTAAATTAATAATTAATATTACATAATATTATAATATTGTTAAATATTAAAATATTATTCGATGTTAAAATGCTTTTAAATTAATATTTAATATTAAAATACTAGTTAAATATTATTTAAATAACATAATATATTAAATATTATTAAATTAATATTTAACATCAAAATATTATAATAATATTTAAAATATTATTATTTCAATATTTAATATTATTACATAAGAAAATAATATTAAAGTAATATTGAATATTGAATATTTTAAAAATATATTAAAATAATGTAATATATTCAATTAACATTTGATATAAAAATATTAAAATATTATTAAAATGATATACTATATTAGAATATTATTAAATTAAATGTTTAAGTTGAAAAATAATATTAAAATATTATAAAAATATATCCTATATTAAATTTTTATTAAATTAATATTTAATATTAAAATATTATTAAATTAAAATGTTATTAAAATGCTAATGAAATAATATTAAAGGTTAATTATTAAATTAATATTTAATATTTAATATTCAAATAATAGGAAATAGTCTTAAAATAATAGTAAATCTTATTAAACTAATATTTACTATTTTTACTTTAATATAAAAAATTATTTAATATTATTTAATATTATTAAAAAAATTATAATATTTTTAAACAATTTTTAGTAATGATAAATTAATTTTTAATATAATTAAATTAACATTTAATATGGAAGAATTAATATTATTTAAATTTTAATATTTAATCTAATTAATTTAATATTAATATTTAATTTTTATAGTAAATTATTATGAATTTTTATTCATATTTATCAATTAATAATTTTAAAATAAATTATAAATGTAAAATATTATTTTGAACTTATTCATTCCATATTCTTTGAACAAGTATATTAATAGTAATTTCTTCTTTATTTCATTATAATAAACCAAATTTAATAATATATATTTTATTCTATTCCTTTTATTTTTATTCACACGTAATATTGACGTCATTCTTCCTTTATACCATTTCGTGAACCAAATGAGCCGTTAGAGAAATGCATATGCTGATGGTTCATGATTTGACGACACCTGTTTGCCACACATTTCTACAAGTGCGCATAAGCAGGCTAAGTGTCTTTTAACCAAAGTTGTCTTTACTGTACTAAGCAAAGTTTTATTATTATTTTTTTAAATTTGTTATATATCAAAATTAGTTATTTTGGTATATTTTTCAAATTTTTTAATTTAGTACATATATATTTATAAATATATATAAATTTATATGTAATAATACTACTAATAATTTATAAATAAATATACAATATATTTAAAAATCAAATAAATAAGTTTAAAAGTATAAAAAATAATATCATCAATTTATCATAATATTTTTAAATATTTAATTTGATCATATGATATTTAAATAAGTATTTTACTTTTTCATATAAATATTAAAATAAAAATAAATAGATAAAAAAAAATTAACATTGATTTCATGGTTATTAAAATTTAGAGAGATAATACAATTGTTTGCTTGAAAAAAAATTAAAATATTTATTAATTTTAGTTTGAAAAAATAAAATATAAAAAGAAAACAAGTTACAATAAAAAATACAAAAATTCAACTTTTAAAGATTATTTTCTCAATTAATTTTATTTTTATTAAATTAAAAATAATTACAAAATTAAAAATAAATTAAAAATTACAAAATATATTTCATATTTACAAAAACAATCTTATGCCCGACATCACAATCTACTTTTGTTATGTTTATGGGCTAAAGAATTTGCCAACCTATTAACATGGACAAAAAGACAAACTCTATAATTGGAAGCTACATCTAAAACATATCCCTCCTTATTCCAGCTCCCTCCCAACACGATTCACCAGCTTTGTTGATTTCCCCCATGGCTAGACTTGCATCAGTTTCTACCATTGCTGAGTCAAAGCCCTGTTCCCTTGCCAGACTAACCCCAAACAGACCATTAGCATGCATCTCTGAACATAGGACATCTTTGTTCTCATCCCTCACAACCATCCCTAACCCCGCCAATCCATTAGTAGCATGCATCTTAAGCAGCATCCACATTAATTTTAACCTCCAGACCCCTTGGAGGTGTCCAGCATTGATCGGCGGCCCTCCTTGGTTCTCTCAAACCACTATTCCGCAGATTATCCATATATACCCTCAGCCATCTGAGTAGCTCTAGATTGTATCGATGTAGTTGAACCACACGTAGCGTCATGTACACAACGATTCCCATTTGACCAATGCATAGTTCCACTATAATTTCCTGTTGTACTTTGGTAAAAAAAAAACAATTTGAAAGAAAACATGGTAAATTGTTTCATTTTGTCTTCTTAATAATGAGAAACAATATGAAAGAAACGAGTCTATCGCTTGCTAGAACCAAAAATAAATAGGCTTACCCTTCTATTGATTCATAATTATTCAGATAAAAAATTAACTTTAATCTTTATACAAGCAACTAATTGTGTTAAGATATATGTCAATCTCTTAACACAGCTTGTGAATTAAAAATTTATGTCGATAATATATCAAATATTAATTGTATATAAAAAATCACTGAATAATCAAATAAATAAATTAGAACATAACTAAATAAATCCGATAATATATAAAATACTAACTGTATATAAAAAATTACTAAATAATAAAACAAACAAATTAGAATATAAATAAATAATTTAAGCATAAAATTGAAACCAAATCCACAGTATCACACACAATGAGACTTAAAATTAAAACATCAAAATTTAAAAATTTCCTCCGTATCACTAAGTCAAAGCTTCATCGGCCTAATATGCGTGTTTAAATTATTTATGTTTTATCTTGTAGCAGTAAGTCCTAAACAATTTAAAGATTACACATGATCCCTTTAAGATTCTTAGCCAAATCTGACTCCTAAACCTTTTTTGAGTCCTAAATCATTAAGAATCCTTGATTTTTCCACAATGTATTACAAGTCCTAGTACAAAGCAATCTCGGTTTGGATAGATTTTAGGGCATCCACAGTTGGAATTGGGAGGATAAATATCGAGAATATAAATTAAATAATGAAATTCGGGAAAAAAATAGGGTGAGCCAATTAGAACTCTACAGTATCAATCAATATTCCTTTTTCAACCTTTTACGGGCTCAACTTTAAACAGCAATAACATTCTCGTTTAATATTGGAATCCAGTGATCATTATTTTGTTAGGAAGTTTAAAGAGTCTACTTTAAAATGAAGTTGGTTTCTTTAAAAAATCAAATTATTTTTCAAGAGATGCTAAATAACTCAAGGTACGCCAAATTTTAAAATGTGCTTTATATTTAAGTCATATCTTGTTGAATATTTATCATATTTGAATTTATAATATACATTTTTTTGTTTGAGATTTTCTAATGTTTAATAGTCATTTGAATCTTGATTAATTTAAAATTAAGTCGAATCAAATCTTATAAAATCTATTTTTTTCATTCATAAAATTTAAAATCAAGACCTTACTTAAAAAAAAATTAAATTTTTTGTCACTCGAATCAACATGTATTGATAATTTATAATATATTTAAAAAAAATAATTGAATATTCTTTGCGAAATAATAAAACTTGTTAAATAATTCTTTGTATTGAAAAGTTATGAAGTTCGGAATCAAATAGCATCATGTGATTGAACTAAAAACTCGGTAAATGATTTTCAATAATTTTAATGGATAATTATCTCACGAGTCTCGATTTATCCAAAGTTTTAAAAGTAAAAAAAAAAAAAAGATTTTAAGCTTTTAAAATAATTTCTTTAGGCTGCAAAATTATTTGTAACCTTCGGTTATGAGGGTGTAAAACTTGATGCTCATAACATCCAAGAAAAAAAATTCAATAAACAAATCAACCAAACAAGAATAATGTAAAATTGAACTAAATCAACACATAATGGAAATTAAATTAGAAGGTAAAAATTTCGGAGCCCTTTCCTTCCCACTCACATAAAGCCCAACTGGCCTCCTTCCCCTTGACATAAAGTCCGATTGGTTTGTAGCCATTTTTTAAAAATAAAATAATAAAAAAGAATCAAACAAAACCTGAATCTCAACGTCAAATAATAGTCATACTATTTTCTATTATGGTTGATAATAAAATTAAGTAATGTTGTTATAACAAATTTCGTATTCGAAAATCTAGAATTAGAATTAGGTGTCAAAATCCAATTTTATTAAATTAAAATAATTTATACAAAACTCTATGGTATTTTTTGTAAAATAAATAATTCTCTGATTTAACTTTCGCTAAAATAAAAAAATATATAATGATTAACAATTTAATTTCAAATAGAGTGATTGAAAGATTTTTAAAATGACATTCTTATGTTATAAAAAAAAAAAGCTTGATTGATTTTAATTTCCGCTGTTTATCAATTTAAGTTATTTGATAATAACGAAGTAAAAAATACAAAAATATCATATTACTATTTTCTATTATATGCAATCAAAAGTTACGTAATTTGATAACAAGTAATTAAAAAGTATTATACTATAGTAAGGGATGACGCTGCAAATTTGGCCTTAGAAGATTTAACAATTAAAAAATATATATATATATATATATATTCACAAAGTAGGTGATAGGAATAGAAAAAGGAGATGTAAGTGTTAGGATTTAAATCCTAATGTCACATGTTAAAAGTAATTACATAAACTAACTAATATTCTAGTTCATTAAAATACTAAATTTAAATACAAGAATAATGCAATTGCATATGGAAATATAACTATTTTTAAGTACTGTGTGAACAGTAAATAATAAACTAGTTTTAAGTAACAAAATGTAAAATCTTTTAATAAAATTGGTATGTATAAATAACAAAAAAAAAAAAAGGATTGGAAACATTTTTGTGTTTCTTTACAGGCAGTTTGCCACAATGAAAAGTTTATCCAAATCACAAACGTTGGTGACGTTCTCCATTACAACTCTGAAACATGTTCCCTGGTAAAAAGCAGTGGCTGTTGAATCTAAACGGTAAGATTCTCAATCATGTTCACCAATCTGTCACTTTTTCATCTTTGTTTTCAGAATCTGAAATCATCAACACGGCGACATATCTGGCAAGCCTAAAACAAGGCAATTTCTCATAAACAAAAGAAACACTGAATGAAATTCTATTTTGATGAGAGAACAATGGAAATAGGTAGCCTAGCAGTAGCAGTTAGTTTTGAGAACAAACTATTCCCGAAAGGGCATCTAAACATGGCCTACAAAATATAATGCTTAATTTATCTACTAAGCAGGTAAAAGGTCCTCTGAAATGACGACCTCTAGCAGTAGCTGCAACTGCAACCTTATCTCCACAAAAAATAAAGGTCTGAATCAAAATTATGTATTTCTCATTGTTCTGAAAATCAAAATCCAGCTCTATGTTTACCTGTGCCAAACTACAGGAAGCTGATCACAGCTCTACATAGGCAGACAAGACCGACTGCAAGTTCAAGAAAACCTTGTTCCATACTCATTTCTTCGTGTTTCTCTTTCCTTGGACACATGTCTAATGCCTGCCTTACACTACTAATTTTGGTCCATTTATCTGGCTTACCAGCTAAAAAGCATAATATAATACAAACTCAATGGACTTTATCAGAGTAGCAACTAGCAACAAAATATGTTGAAATAAATGGTCTTAGGACCAGTATTTTGGCATTCCTAGAGGTGAAAGAAATGCAGATATGATCTGGCAGTCCTTGTTTTTAATATTGGCTCTTGTCTAGAGAAATATAAAGTTATCAAGATTGTAAATGACACTAGATGATCAAAATTAGTTGTGCGGAAAGGAAAAACAAAACATTAGCATACACAATGGTGGCTCTAAATATATGTATGAAATCTCAAAAATTAAATACCTAGACCAACAAAATGGTTAGGATTCCGGATCTCAGCAAACTGAATGAAGAATAAGAAAACACTATCAACTTCTGAAGTTGGGATTCCTTCAGTCCCTTCTAAAATAAAATTTCTACAAGGGGGACAGATACCTGTTACAGATCCTCAAAAGCTGCGATCAGTTCAGAATCTTTGGGCTCGTTTATTATCTTTTCAAACATTGACTTGAGCTTCTCATGCTGGACCATCACTTCCAAAACTTTATCCTCTAGAACGTTACAGGCTTTCTTGTGATGATCAACAGTTTTGTCCGAAGAAGAGAACACTAACTCAGATAACCGATCCTTCCCAGCTTGTCGATAACATTTCATTCCCTCCATTGTCCCAGATGAGATAAGGTGGTAAATGTATACAACCCTTTTCTGCCCTAGCCTATATGCACGGCTTATAGCTTGTCTTTCCACGGATGGGTTCCATGTCACATCCAGCAAAACCACCCTTGAACCTCCAACAAGATTTATACCTTCAGAACAAGCCTTTGTTGATGCAAGCAATACCCTTGATTTGCTCACTGGATCATTAAAAACATTAATTGAGCACTGACGCTGCTTTATATCACATTTTCCATGCATGAACAATATCTCCTCCCCTTCCTTCCATTTAAAAAAATCTTTAAGCTGGTCCATTATTAAGTGTAATGGTTCAAGATATTGACTGAAAACTATGACCTTTTCATCCAGAGCTTCACTAAGCTTAAGCAGCTCCATGAGGAATTTAGTTTTAACTCCTTTATCAGGCTTCAGTCTTATCCTTTCTAACTCATCCATTCTAACAATGGAGCTGACAATTTCATTAATGTCTTTCTGATCTGATACCTGCTGCAACAAAGAGGGATGGATGGAGATCAAGGACACATAATAATCTAAATAAAGTGCATTCTTTGTTTCTTTAACACGCTCAAGGATTTTCTTCTGCAGATCAAAGGGCCGTAAAGCAACCACAGAATGCCTCAAACCAGGAAGGGTAGTCTGTAGAATTCTGCCTTTATGCACATGCACAAATGGCTTAATCACAGCTCTAACCTCCCTCAGTTTCTCCGCTTCATTTTTATCAACATCTTTGCCAATGGAACCAGTCAAAGAGTCCCATTTCCATTTTGCTTCATTTCCTTTTTGACCACGCTTTTTGTTAACCTGTTCTCGATGTCTAGACTGGATTCCTTCAACAAATTTTGGTCTAACTAAGCAGAGTGTGTTGAAGAGCTCATCAAAATTATTCTGGAAAGGAGTTCCTGAGAGAATGATACGTCTTTCTGTTTTAATTCTTGATAAAGCCTTCCACAGATGAGTATCATCATTCCTAGGTGTGTGCCCTTCATCAAGGACAAAAAGACCAGGAAGCTCAAGAAGGATTTTACTTACAAGCTTATCTACAGTTGAACATTTTTGTTTCCCCTTATTCTCCTTTCCAGCAAGTTGCTCAAAAAGTCTGTAACTGATTCCCAAAATGCCTCCATCAGATTTCCAGGAAAGCAGTTTCACCAGGCGCCGGGCAAGGGGTCTATCTGGGAATGTGACACCTTGCTCAAATTTTTTATAAAAATCAATTCCCTTTGTTTTTTCCTTGCCAGAAAAATCCTGACTGTTCAGATTGTGAAAAGGAATATCAACCTCCCACTTCCTAAACTCTGCTTCCCATGTGAGTAGCATACTGCTAGGAGCAACAATCACTGGCCTGCAACTTGGATATTCTTTTAAGTATGTCTGAAGAAAGACTATAGTTAGAAGGGTTTTCCCTGTCCCAGGAGCATGAGATATAATGCATCCACCACATCTGTTGGATGAGTTTTTTGACTTATCACGATAAATTCCTCCCGATATATTATTCCAAATAAATTCAAAACCTTCACGCTGATGAGGGTAAAGTTTACTTTTTAAGTTCGGAATGATTTCCCATACTGTGCCTTTGATATCAGCAGAGAGATCACAGCCAGGCATATCATTGTTAGGGTCTTGATATTGAAGACCATCAAATATAGAAGAGTCCACAACGCCAGAGTGTTGCCTCTCAAATTTCCCACAAGGCTGTGTCATCTGCAACAAGCAAAACCAAGTTACAAGAATCAAATATCTGAAGCTAAGTAAGAGCCATTTACTCAAGTGTCGCAATATATATATATATATATATATATATTTATATACATATATATATTTATTTATGTATATATTAGGCTCCTTGCCATTAACCTATATTGAGCCATTTAGCTTGTCTAACACCATAATTCACATTGGAACTGTTTACATCTAAATCCATCAAATTTTATGGGCTAAAATTCTTAGCATTCATAGCACTAGCAATACCTAATATACTTCAAAAAAACAAAAATGCCAATTAAACTACCCAGCTTTGTGGCAGATTTGGTTTAAAACTTAGAATGAGCAAATACAAACTTATCGGAGAACAAGAGCCAAACTTTGTGTATCAAACCATAAAAATCAATATCAAGAAAAACCTTTACTTTACTGCTTTAAAAAATAACTAACAACAATGCTTTCAACAAAGTATCTCTGCTACCATCATGCCACTCTATATTGGCCCCACCTTCCCAACCAAAATAAAATAAAATAAAATACTATCATCAAAATGAAATTTTCAATATAGATTATTAAGCATGAAACATAAAGGTCCACACACAACTTACCAAAGGTGGTGAAATATATTTGATTTCCAGTTGCACAAAAGAGCAAAATTTGCATTTCATTCCAATTTCTTCGTCTAGCACAAGCTGATGATTCCCTAGACTACATAGGGTTGCTTTGTCATGTTTAACGTCAGATATATCAGCATCCTCAATTTCCACCTGTTCATCAATATGAACTGTATAAGTTTCAGTTTAAATATATAAATGCATAATGCAGACAAGTTGAGATAAAGATTCACATGAAAAAAGAAACCTAAACAAGGGCAAACATAGAGGTCCAGACTCATGTTTCCACCTCTACCTCACTCTCTCTCTTCTGCATATTTAATATCTAAAAAGATCAGCCTTTATGACATTGAAAGTCTAATCTGGTAAAGCTAAATCCAATACAGTAACAATACGACACACCGTGCTAATTTTCATGAAGCTTCAATAGTCATCTGCTGCTAATTTTCACTTTAAGGAGTGCAGATGTATATACATTTAGCTCTTTTTCTACTGATACAGTTAACTGAGCCTAAAAGACCTTAGAAACAACAAACATATTTTGCATGCAATTCCTTTCTAAAAAAAATATCAAGGCCTCTTTTACTTTAGTTTATAGCTTTTGTAGGAAGATGTGTATCTGAATGTATGTCCTTTGTTTATTTGCATATGTAAATTCACGGAAACACAAATCCATACTAGAAGGAAGTATATACGATCCAATTTGTGCATGCGAAGGGCTTGACACATAATAAGCATATAAATCAGGACTCAATTTTCAGAATTTGGACATGAAACAATGAATAAAATAAATAAAAATGCAAATATTATATGAATTATTTCAGACTTGTACAAAGATTTTGAACATACCAGGGAAGGCTCGGTTGAACCAATCTCAGAAGACGTAAGAGAAAACTGCATCTCAGTCCACAGTGAATCCATTTCTTTCTCAAATTCTGTTTTCTCATGATGAGTAGTTGTTGGCTCAACCCCAAAAGTGAACTTCAGAGGCAAAGAGTTGTCCTCAGTTTCTTCTTTGATATCCTCTCCCGATGAACTAGAATCTGCGTCTTCATTGTCCAAAATAGAATCCGCAAGAATTTTAAGAAGGTGAAGTTTGTTGGATGAGGCTGGCCGTCCCTTTTTATGCGTAGACTTGGTTTTGGAAGATGTAACATCAATTACATCTTCATCAAAGCAAATATCCACCCCATTTGAATTCTTTTTACTGTTTCCAGCGTGCTCAGAAACGAACTCAACCTTTTCAGCTTTGGCTTTGGCTTTGGCATTGGCATGGCTTTGCTTATCTAAAACCACAGCTCGGGCGCCATAGTCGTCCCCATAATAATCCAAATCCTCATATTCATCATTATCCTCTCCGCTTGTAGAGGTAAGAGCCTCATCAGAACCCTCCATTGAATCACCATCATCCTCATCATCATCATCATCATCAATATCATCATAACTATCAAGGCATATAAGATCAGGGTCCTTTTCATCTTGTTTACACTCTTCTAATTCAATGTCAGATTCTTCACTCAAAATTTGCATTTGATCAGTCCGTTGTTGAGAAGCCAAAGATATATTGTCCTTGGTGGAGGACTCGGGCATAGCCATAATGGTTTTGGCCTTGCGCTCCTCCACCTCCTCCTGTATCTGTCTCCGCTTGCTTTCACGATACTCCTCAAACAACAGAGCTTCCCTCTTTCTTCTTGTTCTTGAAGCTACCGGCATCGACTGATTCGACATTGCGCGTGGATTAAAAGAAAAAGGTTGTCGACTTTCAGGGGAAGAAAAAGAGAGAGAGAGAGAGAGAGAGAGAGAGAGACGAAAAGAATGGTTGTGGTGTGAGTTATAGGGCAGATGGAAAAAGAAGGGAAAGGGAGAGAGAAAAGAGTTTGAGGCGGAAGGGAATGGAAGGAAATATGAGGGAAAGGGAGAGGAATAGCAAAGGTCAGGAACAGGGGTATGAATGCATGCGGGAGAAAGAAGAGACGAGAAGAGCGTGTGATGGTAAAGAAAATATAATAATGATAGGTCAAAGGAAAAGACCCCTTATTCACTCCCACAAGTCAGCGGACAAATCAGAAAGAAAGCCAAAACCTGAAACCCAAGTAACGAAGAAAAGCTTTTAATTCCCCGAACTGCCCTTCTTCCCATTTTCTGTTCCCTGTTAAAAGAATTTACTTCTACTACTATTTTATTTAATATTATATGTTTATTAGCAGTAGTAATATTTTTTTCTTTCGGGATTTGGATTTTGGATTTTCACCGAAATTGGACGTGCCCTAAGCTTAGGTCCAGCTGTACTGTATCTGATATTTTTTCACCTTTTTTTTTAAGTGTTCAAATTTTTAATTGATTTTTTTAGCATTACGAAAGAGAATTCAAGATATGAACTTCCCAAATTGCCATCACTTTTATTATATATATATATAAACAACTGATACAATTATAGTAAGTCAAAAACAATAAATAAATTCCATCTTAGGAACTTGTTTGATATGATGAAAAGATTTGAATCCAATAATTAAAGAACTTTGATTTGAAAAATAATTATGAAAATTTTCAATTTTTACGCCAACCTGTAATTTGGATTGAAAAGTTTAAATTCATTTGAAATATAATAAGATTAAATACTAAAAAAGTTATTGAAATATTTTTAAAATAAGAACCTATATTTTTATTATATTCAAATAACTTTTTATTTTTTAATTTGTATAAAAAATGCTTATTTCAAATAAAACTAATTTATATTAAATATTTATTTAAATATAAATTAATTAAAATTTTATTTAAATATAAAATAAATATTAAAGAATTTATTTTTTATAAAATTTTTACTTTTTAATATTAAAAATATAAAATTTTAATTTATAAAAAATTTAAAATTTAATATTAAATACATAAATTAAAATTTTTTAAATTTAATAAAAATTAATTTATAACAAATATTTTAAAACGGGAAAGTAATTAGAATAGTAGATGTAGATGGTAGTAGAAATTAATAATGATTACAATCCCATCAAATGTCCATTTCATCCTCCGTTTTTTCAGAGAACAAAAATTAAAGACAGATTACTTTCCAACTTCTTTCGTTATTTTTGGGTCATGCAATGTGCAACATTTACACCACCCTGTTTGCCATTCAGGTTTAAAAGTGTTTTTGATAAATTCTTCAAAAAAAAAAAAAAAGTCCTTTCGTTAGAAATTCCAATTTTAGAATTAAATTGTGTAAAATTTTTTAATTTTGCTTATAAAAAGTTTAATTTTATGAACTAAACACAAAAGCTCTTTAAGTTGTATTTACAGTTAAAAAGTATTTTTGAAGGGTAAATCTATTTATTTATTTTTATAATTTTAAAATTATATATATTTTAATATTTTAATATGTCAATAACATTGTTTATAACAATATCAAATAATTAAATTTTAACTTATATTTTTCTAGTAAAAATTTTGAATATATTTTTTAAATAAAATTTTTTCGAATCCGCTATAACAATTAGACCTAAATCAAATTCAAAACTGTACAGTAAATGGAGCAGAATAAATAGATTGCGTGCAATTCCTGGTAATGGATAGCAATTAATGTAATTATATAAATTGCAGTGTGAAATAGGGAAAGCCGAGAGGCAGGGAAGCCTTAACCAATGACCAATAGGCTAATGGCTCTCTGCCAATTGATAAAAAGCGTTGTAGGCAGTTTACGCAACCTGCTGTAGCACATTGTGCTGCGATATGGTTCTGTTTTCAGAATAATTAGCAATTAAAAAAATTAATACGATGATACAAAATAAAATAATATAATATTTATATGTATTTAATAAAATTAAAAAAATATATTTTGTATTAATATTAATTATAATATATAATTTTTATATAAAATATAATATAATATATAAATTATTATTATATTATATTATATAAATATGCAAATAATTAAATTTAATTAATAGGTATATGGTGTGACACCTGGCCTGCATTGCATTACAAACTAGAATGGCAAAACCTAAGCCAGTGATTGCCTGTTTACGCATTGCCATTGCCATTGCCGCACTCTGACAATCTGGCCACGCTTTTTTGTATTTTTTTTTTAAGTATAATAGACCAAGTTTAAATTAATATAGTATTAATTTGAGTTTGAGTTTGATTTGAAATTTAGTTTTAATTTGATGAATTTTTTTTTATAATTTAAACTCAATTCAAAATAAAAATTAAATTATTTAAATTCGTTTGGTTGAACTCGATTAACAAAAAAATTAAATTTGATTAGACAAAAATTTTATTATTTGTGCTTGAATTCAAATTCAAATTTAAAATATTTTATTAATTAAAATAATAAAAATATATTTAAAAATAAAAATTCAATTATGCTCGAAAATTATTCGAATTAAATATAAAAATGTTTGAACTTGATTCGATTGATGAGTCGAGTTACTTGAATTCGAACTCGACTCAATAATAATCGAGTCGAATTTAAGTTTTATTAGAATCGAACTCGTGTAACTTACGAGTATTAATATATTATTATATTATTTGCTTTTTTTACTGTTTACCACTGTTTTTTTACTCATACATTTTATCTAAGCTATAAATGATTTGATCTCTTTTTAAATCATAGAAAAAATTTTAATGTTATAAATTTATTTATTAACACAAACTTAAAAAAATTATTTGTAAATCTTATATTATAATTTAAAGCTAATAAAATAAGTTGTTTATTAATTAAAAATTTCATAATTCAAATATTATATTAAAAAATTTTAAAATTTAAAATTATTAAATATTTTATTATAATTTAAAAATTATTCGAGACATTAGTCCCACCTATTAAATACATGGATAGCAATTATTTATGAGAAAATAATAGATCTATACGAACATGTTATCCAGCTACTTCCTTTTTTTTTTTATTTATTTTTATAATTCGATTTGCACATCGATACAACAATGTGGTTAACTCGAACTTGGACAAGAACTTCTAAAGGCCCATTAACACTTTTATCATCCTTGCTCCAGAAGTGCCGAAACGAAAGACTGCTGAATGGCCTACAGGAAAGTAAATCTGGACCCAAAGTTACTCATTTGTTCTTCGCTAATGACAGTATCCTATTTGCAAAAGCAAATGCGAACGAAAGCGAAATAATAAGGTACGTGCTAAGCAGGTATGAAGAAAGCTCTGGACATTGTATAAATTTTCCTAAGTCGGCTTTGGTTTTCAATGCCAATACAAAGGATAGGAGTAAGGAAGAGATCAAGGAGGTTTTGGGAATAGGGGCCATAACAAATTTGGAAAAGTACCTAAGCCTACCATCTATGGTGGGTAGGGAACAAAGGAAAGCATTTAGAGAAGTAAAGGACAGAATGCACAACCAGTTGACTGAAAGAAATTGTCAAATGCTCTCGCAGGGGGGCAAGGAGGCGTTCCTAAAATCAAAAGTTCAGGCGATTCCAACTTACACCATGGGTTGTTTCTTGCTTCTAAGGACACTATGCGTGGAACTAAACTGTATCATAAGCAACTTTTGGTGGAGGCAAAACAATGACAAAAGAGGAATCCACTGGATTAGCTGGAAGCAAATGTACACACCAAAGAAAGAGGGAAGGTTAGGCTTCCGTGATATGGAGAAATTTATCAAGGTAATATTGGCAAAACAGGGGTGGAAACTTCTAACAAATCCAACAACTTTGTTGTATGGAATCTTCAAGGCTAAATACTTCTCGAGGACATCATTTCTTGAAGCAAAACTTGGTAGTAACCCTTCCTTGACGTTGCGTAGCATTTGGAGAACGGGGCACTAGATGGAAGGTTAGGAATGGAGGATTGATAAGAATTTGGAAAGATAAATGGGTGCCGTTCAACAAAGACTTCTTCATTTGCTCATAAAGAGGGAAATGGAATGCAGAAGGATTGGTGGAAGAGCTCATAGACCAAAACACGGGATAATGGAAATTGGAGTTGTTATAGAAAATGTTTGAGTTGGTTGAAGCAATGGTTATAGTACCATACATTAAACAAAGAGAGGAAGCTCTGGCATATTGGTATAGCATTATGATAACAGTGGAAAGTACTCTATCAAGAACGAATACAAATTACTGTGTCGTGAGGAAGGGAACATCAGGACACAATCTGCAAGGAGTGAAAATGGGCTATGGGAGAAGATATGAACAGCAGCCATAGCAAGCAAAACAAAGTATTTTTATGGGGAGCATGTCGTGGCTTACTACCTACCATGCAATGTCTTGTATGAAGAAGAATTCACATGGAAGGAACATGCAGTAGATGCAGCAATGGTGAAGAAATAATACCTCATGCACTTAAAAACTGTGATGTCGTAAAAGGAGTATGGCAACAACTCCACTACACTTGGGATATTGATGTTGATGAGAACATTGTGGGGTTGGAATAGCTGAAGAACTGGATAAGAGTAATGCCTAAAGATCAGTTGCAACAGTTGTCGATGACATGCTAGGTGAATTGGACGAATAAATACAAAGAAATACATGGGGAGAAGAGAATAACATCAATCCAAGTTGCAAACTTCATAAAATCATACATAATGGATTTCAACAAAGCCCAGAAGTGACTAGATTATGCAACTGAAATGCCAGAGCAGAACTGAAAGTCGCCCAAAATTGGTTGTTTCAAAGTGAACTTTAATGGCACATTAAATGGGAAAGAAAATCAGAAAGGAGTGGGTGTTATCATCTGTGGCTCATATAGCCATTTCGTAGAAGCATGTGCAGTCAAGGCGGATAGAGTAGATCCGTTTGTGATAGAGACAAAAGCAGCAGTGCAAGCTTTAAGTTTCACCAAAAAAATAGGGATTCAATCCATAATACTTGAAGCAGATGCGTTGGAAGTTTTGAAAAGACTTAAAATGGTGGTACCGGATATGTCCCAATAAGAACAATCATTGAAGAAGCTAGGGAATAGATAAGGAGTTTTCTAAATTGTGAAACGATGCATATAGGAAGAAAGGGGAATGATGCAACCCATAGTCAAGCTAAGCATGGACTAAATGTCAATATGGATATGTACTGGGTTGAAGAACCTCCATTGTTCCTATGTAATACCTTTCAGGATGATAACTATTTTCTTAAAAAAAAAAACTTTTGCTTGTCAAGTTGAGGAAATTTTACATGTCGATCTGTTGGATTTAATTTTAATAATAGGAACTAGAAAATTGTATTGGCTGTACCTAAGTTTATATAATAAAAAATAATTAAGGTAAATTAAAAACGATTACATAAAATAAAAAATAAAATTTTAGCACAATTTTTTAAAATCAACCTTTGAGAGATTTTATTATGTTATACTCCATCACATTTGCTTTATCTATTTTTTCTTTTTGAATATTTCAAAACTATTTCCTCTTTCTTTTTTAAAACCTAAAACTTTTATTTTCTGTGATAGTGGTGTTATCTTACATTTAATGAATATCTAATTTTTTGTAGTCTTATATTCAAGTTGAGCTCCTCTATTTATTGCAATTGGTTTTAAGTTAGATGCTTAACATGGTATCAGAGCTAGGATTTCTTTCTGTTATCTTTTCCAAATCTATCACGTAGTAGGCTTTTTCTATCTCCACCTACATGTGATGGGACCCTATTAATGTAGTGTTATCCTACATCTAATGAATATTTAATTTCTTGCGATCTTATAATTAAAAAGCAACAATTCAAGAACTATACTCCTTACCCACAAACCATTTACCCCACATACTACCCCACCATAAATAATGCTTTGGCTTTCCTATATCAAACAGTTCCATAATCTGTTTATCCAACCACTTATCAACCATCATTCAGACCACTTATCAATACATATCACCCTAATATCCCTCCTATTGCAAGGCATTCTATATGTCCATCTAACCCAACAAGTGAGTGGTACAAAGGAACCATGAAATAATCGAGAAGCCCACCTTTGATCCCATTCCCATGACTTTTACAGAGTTGTACCAAGAACTCTACAATAATCATTTGATTGCTCTTTTTCATAAAAAAAACCACTTGAGCCCACTTATCCCATGTGGTATGATCCCGCTGCTCGTTATGATTATCATTATGGAATCACGGGTCATTCCATTGAAAATTGTACTGCTTTAAAAATATAAGGCATAAAGCTAATCAAAGATGGACTGATTAATTTTGACACCAGTGAAAAAAAAGCCCAATGTTAGTGGTAATTCGTTGTCCAATCATACAATAAATGCTTTGAATGAGGACATAAAACGTATGAAAAAGAGGGTAAAAGAGATCAAGATTCCGTTTTATTAGTTGCTTGATACTCTATATGAGGTTGAGATGGTTCAACCAATGGACCCATACACCTACCATGAGAGATGTGTCCCAAATCAAAGGTGTAAATACCATAGTGGTGCTCCAGACCATTCTATTGAAACTTGCAAACAATTCTATGAAGTAGTATAGAAGCTAATGGATTCATACTAGATTGAACTATATGAGGAAGGAGAAGCTTCGAAAGATGCTAAAGTGTCTATGATTGATAAGTCAAAATGGGTGCCAAAACCAATAACAATTTATTACGGCAAGAAGCCAAAATAAATCATAAACAAGCTTATTACTAAGCTAGTGACCTTCAAAGTCCCAAGCCTATTCCTTTACAAGGATGAAAAGGCTGCACCATGGAGGTATGGCTATTAAGTGACAGTCCAATGGTAGGAAGAGACCACGCCCAGGCTAGATACCGCCAACATAACTAGTATGGGTGGTAAAACTAGAAGTGAAAGGTGCTATACTCTAAAAATGGTGTAAAAGGCTAGAAAAGAGAAAATAATAGTGGTAAAAAAGTAGGCTAAACCAAAGATAGTTACAAATAATGATAATTCAAGATAGTATCTAAAAAAGAAGCCGACAAATTCTTGAAGCTGGTAAAACATTGTGAGTATTTTGTGGTGGAGCAATTAAACAAGATGTTAGCTAAGATCTCTTTATTATCATTGTTATTGAATTCAGAACCACATCTCAATGTTGTTAAAGGTGTTAAACCAAGTTTATGTGGCTCATAACATGTCAATAGAATATGTGAACCTTTTGGCTAGGAACCCAATGGTGCCACATTATTTAGCTTTTAGCGATGATGAAATCCCATCAAAGAGAAAAGGATGCACAAAGGCCCTGCACATTACTGTCAAATGTAAAAGTTATATTACAACCAATGTACTTATTGACAATGGCTCTACTATTAATATCATGCATATATCCACTTTAACAAGGCTATCCACTAATTTAAATCAAATTTTTCGCTTTCGCTTCAAATAAACATGTAAGTATATATGATTATGTTCATATATATCATACATGTATTTATCTTTCATTGGTATCAAACCTAGGTTGACTCATTTTCTGATTCAATTGTATGTTCTTCATAATTGAAAACATGAAATGTTCTTGCATGTTTTGTGAACATCCATAGTAGGTTATAAAATTTTTGTGTTCTTTGATATAATTAATGTTGTTATGATAATTTTTTAAATAAAAAAGGGAAATTCTATTTATTTTTTCATTTTTAGATCAATTTTTTTTATTTTTAGATAAGGCATCCGAATGACTTAGGTAAAATTTAAAAAAAATTAATTTTTTTTAAAAATAAAAAGAAGCATTCAAATGCCATATTCAGAGCATTTGAAATACCTTTGTTTTTTCAAAAATATTCTTTAAAAAAAATTTTTTTGTCTTTGATTGACTTTAGGATGTTAAATCATACAAGAATGATTGAGAGGAGTCTTAATCATTTTTTTACTTGTGTTGACTCATAAATTCATGATTTTTTTCTTGTATTTTGTTACAAAAAATCATAATTGTTTCCATGAGGACTCCCATCGTTATGAAGACACAGACGTAATTTTTAAAAGTCATAAGGTTGACAATGGAATTGATGCAATACTGAATGGACCCAAATAATGATATTGAGATACATACCATCAAGGTCAATGCCATGATCCAAGAAGTGATTTGACGTGGTTGCTTATGCATTAGAAATGATCAGATCAAATATGAAATGTTGATAGGTACACTTTTGACTCATAGATAAAAATTTTTTTTCAAGATATTCGGATATCTATGGAGAGTAATCCGAAG